GTTGTACACCTCGGGCAGCTGCTCATTCTCGGCGTCGAGCAGCGGCTGCTTGTGCTGGGGCTTGGACATCGCGATGGATATCGTCGGCTCGGCAAATTGGACAATGAACTCGACCCGAGATCCGACCGAGATTTCATCCGATACAAACACCAAGTACAAAAGCAACGCGGCCGGTCACCGCAGTTTCCATACAATGTGCAAGGTATTTTAATGCTTCGATATTACCAGTGCCACGGCCACGTTCAAGATCGAGGCCCATTTTAATCACCAAAGTATACATATGCAAGGTAAACGTTCATTGGTTTGCGCATTTTATTATGCAAAATATTCCAATCCGCTTCGACCAATGAGAGCCGAGAGCGGCTTCTCATGCGGCGCCAAACCTATGGCGGCGAGCATACAAACAAAAGTTGAAGCGGGTTTGGTGGGGCTCCGCTGGATCTCGCGGATACCTCGGCGCCAGCTGTAATGGGCGAGATCCGGCGACAGCCACGTAGAAGCGATGACACGCACGCGATTTTATTTTACATCTTGGTTTTTGTATGCCTTGGACAGCGATGGACCGTGACTTACGCCGTCCCCACGCACCAGTATACTGAAACGCAGAGCGGGCCGAGGCTGCGATACGCGGCCACCCGAATTTAATGCGTGTTCCCAACAGCGGAACATCAGCTTGGATAGAAACACCAAGGCACGGGCAAAAAAGCGCGCCCATTTTTTAAACGGCATGTCGGAACTTGGTCCAAAAGGCCGGAACGGCAATGGGTGCCTTCAAACGACAACAAACTCGCGATCGGAAGCAGTGAGCTTGCATTTGCAGCCCAGTGATCGCAAGACGTGGGACAGAGGAGGCTTGAACGGTGGGTGGATACCCGTAGACGTGCTTCAGATAGCGTTGCGTGGAGAGGATGATTGCCAAGCATATTGTGTCGCCGACGTATATACCACTGGGCAAGCCGAGTAGCTTTTGCTGCGGCGGCGAGATTGGCTTCAACGATTCACACACGACTCCGTTCAGCACAACTTTGCGTTAGTAGGCATACGCACATTGGTAACCCACTGGACGCAATGGTGACGACCGCATATGCAGGACCTATGTACTGGACCGGCGACATCGCTGGCGTTTCGTGGCGTGCTGCCGACGATTTCGTGTAATGCCGGAGTAGCTAATTCGTGGCTCTGGCGCGCGTCTTGGGTGAGCTTCCCAGTCGGAAGCCGCTTTGCTTGCCCTTCCACGTCAGATCCGCCTACAGTGTACTTGGCTGTGGACAGGTCCGACCACGTTCCGCCCTTCAAGTCCGGAACGCCAGTCGTACGGACGCGGCGCGGAGCTCCGTGGAGCTCCTTACATCCATCCTACTATTGGCACCTCGAAGCGACGCCCCCAAAGACGTCTCTTGCACTCGTTGCTGGCGTCTCGAGTGTGGCCGCAGTCGATCCTCGTCGGTGCTTGCTACTCTGTGACATGGTGTGGATAGCGGCCCAGCGCCTTCCCAACACATAGAAAATCCGACTTCAATGATCAAGACCGTGTCCCTGGCGCTGGCGTCACGAGCGCGACAAGCCAGGAGCTTTTTGCTCCGGCACGGGATCTGCACGAAGCTCAGATTCAACGCCTCCCAAGCACCCAACTTTAGGCTCATATACTTGGCTATATGCAACTCTTGGTGGGGATTGCGTCCCTTCCCAATACCCGTGCGTGGATTACCTTTTCCGCGCCCATTCGTCGTCGAGAGAGGTAGCTAGCTACTCCCGATCGAGTTGGCTTTGTGCTCGCAGTGGAGCGCCAGTCGACGTAACTCGCATCAGGTGCGCTGGCGCCAGCACGCCAGCGAATTGCGGCCACCGAACGGCTGCCTTACCAGGTCCACCGTGCGTGGCACCACGGTGACGACACGGAGCACGAAAAGGAGCGAGTACCGAGAGACCAGACCAATGCAGCTCCGTGCACGTGCCATCATGCAGAACGATGCACGAGTCGTGCTGGAGATTGAAGCGTGCGTTCCGGTGCGGACGCGCAAGCGAGAAGACGCCGTCGACGACGCCATCTCGGGTCCAACCATGGGTCAATAATAAAGTATTATTGACCCATGGGTCCAGCCCATTGAGATTCGACGACCGGTCTTGTCGGAGCACGAACCGCTTCATACAAGACCCATCTTCAACCACGCGGCGCTGCCTAGCCCCACGACGGAACATACAAAATTTGGCTTCAAGCAAGTGCCCGCTATTACGTCGATGGCGCCACCCAGCCGCTCGTTCTCGAAGCCCAACAGACGACGGCGTTGGAACCCAACATGCGATCTTGAAGAGTCCGGAACATCAAAAACCAGGTCCGGGACCTGGCCTTTCTTTCCCCAGGATGCCAGCCATTCCGTCACAAGACGAGCTGAAGCGCTTGAGGAAGGTGTTTTCGGTACTGGAGCTGCTGATAGGAGGCTTCGAGGTTGGAGGTTGGTTGCTCCTGCTGTTGCCGTGAATCGGAGGGAGCGGTCATTGGTGGGTTATCATTTGGACTGCAGACAGAATGTACCCACGATAATGGTGTGTATCCACACAAGACAGACCATGCTTACAACAAGCAACACACAGATGCGGCGATCAGACGCTGCGGCCTTTCTAGCGTCAATGGCAAACTGGTCGACACAGCCATTCAAACACTATTTAAGTACAAAGTGCTCGCCACTTGGACTTTTAAATAGTGTACGTTCCGACGCTAATCGGCAATGACGACGACGGCCGAAGCCGTGGTGATGCCGGCGGCCGCGCCGCAGTCGCGCGTCGTCCTCGCCGCGACCAAGGACGAGTACTACGCGTCCGAGCTCCTTACGCAGCTGCATGACGTGGTTGAGAAGCTCAAGTTCTGGGGCCGTGCAGGCGGCGGCGGGGCGGCGGCCCAGCTCTCGATCGACCCCGAGCTCCAGCTCCTTACCAAGTTCCTCTACTTGACGATGACGGGTGCCACACACACCTTCTGTAAATGACTTGGCCTTATCGTATCACAGGGTCTCAAACGATGGGCGAGGAGTACTGCGACATCTACCGCGTCGAGGGCGAGCGTCCTCGCATGCTCTCATGGACATCGACCTTCTCGTGGCTGCAGCTCGCGACCGTGCTTCCGTACCTGCAGCAGCGATCTAGCTTGGGCTGGTCAAACCTCCGCCCTGGTGAGGCGCAGGCGCGGCTGCAGCAAGCTCGTCGCCAAGCCCGCGAGCGCCTGCAGATGCAAACCAACCAGCACGCTGTCGTGTCGGCGCCGACGACGCCCCGCCGGTACGTTGTATTGCGCTCTTCAACCAGCAGTCTCAACGCTCTTGGGTTGCAGAGCGCCGTCCAAGGTCGACAAGTTCCTCGCGTACCTGGACGACCTCGTGAAGCGGGCCAAGGAGATGGCGCAGACGATCGAAGCCCGTACAGGGACGTCGGTGACGACATGGATGCAGGCCGCGGTGGCTGTGCACCTTGCGCTCTTCTACCTCCATGGGCGCTACTTTGACATGGCGAAACGCGTGGCCGGCATCCGGTACATTCTGACGCGCAAGCTGGACGCGCCCCACGCGCAGTTTTCGATTCTGGTAGCTCACTCGCCACGAGACACTTGTTGGACGGTGCGTCGCTAGGGCTACTTGATTCTATTGCGACTCGCGCTCTCGTCTGTACTGGGTCTGTCGGCCTGTCTTCGAACGCTCCTTGGCGTCGAGGTTGCCCCGCGCCGCCTCGACCAACACCGCGTCCCGTCCGACGAGTCGCGACCTACTGTCACGGCGCAGCGCAAGTGCGCACTGTGCTTGACCGAGCGTAGCCACCCTGCGATGACGCCGTGTGGTCACGTCTTTTGCTGGGAGTGTATCGTGGGCTGGTGCCAAAACAAGCCCGAGTGCCCACTGTGTCGGCAGCTCGTGCAGCCCCAAGACGTCAAGTGCATCTACAGCTACAAGTAGTCGCGAAAGCCCGAGCAAAAGGCCTCTCGTTCTCTGTTCTTGGGTTCCTCTAAGCTCTTATTCCCGGTATGTTGGACGTCATAGGGTAGGCCACGACAGTAGACTTGAGTCCCAGGGTTGGCCACGACAGTAGACTTGACGGCTACGGTATGGGCTAGCATTAGAATGGCCAGGCCCTGGGCTCTGCGTTGCTGACTCGGCGGTTGCTGTACGAGTACGACTGCAGAAGTTCCCGTGAGTTTGTGTCTCAGCGACTGACCGCCTCGTAGACGATGTACAGAGCCATTATAATTACATGAGATTAGTGCTTGCGCTGCTTCTTGGCCGGCTTGGCCGAGGTACTCGTCGTCGGCGCCTTCTTGGTCTTCTTGGACGCCTTGGACGCCTTTTCTTCCGTCTTGGTCTCCTCGACGTCGGTCTTCTCCTCCGCCTTGCGCTCGTTCAACGCCTTGACGTACACCTGGTCGGACGACAGCGCGTGGTTGATGAAGCGCCCCGCGGCCTCGGCGTCGACCTTGACCTGCGGGCCCTTGGCTACAGGTGCATGCTCGTTATGCAAGGCGGCGAGAAGACGAAGTACACACCCATCTCTTCCGAGTACTTGATCTTCTGGACAAAGCCCTTGACGCGGTCCAGCTCTTGCTTGACTTGGGTCTGGCGCAGGTCCTTGGACGACGCGCCTTGCGTCTTGAGCAAGACTATACATCAATGAGCTTGGGCCATGCATGCAGGATAGGCGCCTACTGTAGAGCAGCGCATTCACCGAGTAGGCTACGAGGAAGAGCCATGAGCGTGATGGAGACAAGGTAGTAGCGTACCGAGGCCGACCTGGAGCTTGGCCTTCTCGATTGGCGCCGCGTTTTTCGTGAGCTCATCGACCGACGCCTTGGTCAGCGGCGCGAGGTACTCTTCGATCGCGCCGAGCGCGCTCGTGACGTTGGCGAGGTGCTGCTCGGCCATGGTCGGATGTATGATTGGAGCAGAGCTTGTCCGGATAAATCCACCAGCTGTCGGATACATGTTTGCCATACTTACCATAATTAAAATCGGGTTAAAAATGGCAGATCGGTGGGATTACCGGTACCGGTTGCCAACGTCGCGACACGCCGCGACGTTCCACGCCACGTTCGGAAACGTGGTGTTCCACGCACCACCATGGCGCATGGGTGCACGAAGTTTGCGATGCTCGATCGGTCCGGCGGACGACTGGCGCACGGCTACCGGTATTACTCCGATCACTTGGCTGCCATCCATTCTATTCCATGGCCGCCTCTTTGCGCGTGCCACCGTGCTCAGCACAAGGAATTTGGACGTGGTATCACGAAGAAGAGCTGCTGCTCAATGCAGTAGCGAGCTCTGGGAACGAGCTATCTTTGTCACGGCCCGTGAGGCTCCTCGCGCGTCCGCCGCCACTTCCATGTCGGCCGCCACTGTCTTGCTTTGCTCGGCTGCGAGTGCAGAGGTACAGTCCCCGCTTCATCAGTTGCACCACGAGCAACCAAGTCATCATTGCAAGCGATCTCGTGCATGGTCATGCGAGTCGTCGTTGGTGTCGTCACAATTCGACGAACGTCGCGTGCTAGTCCGTGGGTGACCAGGGCACGAGGAAGGAGCTGCCCGCATCGAGACATTCAGCACCACCACAAGCCACCCCACGTCACTTGTGTGATGTTATCGATCTCATCATACATCCTTGCAGGGTGTAGCTGCACACCTTGGCGCACGACGTCTAGCTGCGCCAAGAACGGTCCAAGCCTGTTCCGTGATGATGATTTACGTACCGGGTACTGTTGCAGTATTACCGGGTTGGTAGAGGCATCGGTAGCTTTGACGAAGCCAGCTTTGGTTTGGAAATGCAAGTATCTTCCTCATCAAGCACGATGCTGTGAACCGCCATCTGATACGTTCGTCGCAAACTGCTTCCGCGGTCCCATCGCCAGGTAGTCGAACGACCGACTAGACTTCCGAGTTGACGCTCGTGGAAGCTTCTCGCCTCATTAACGACGCAGCCCAAGTGCCACGTACTCGTATCGCTGTCCCATCTTGTGCGACCAGATCCAACGACCAGCACTCTGCGTGTTTCTCACGTGAAAATCGGTTTCGATTTCTCACGTGCAAATCACGCACCCATCGACCGCAAGGCGGTGCTGCCTCGCGCGTCGCCATGCACTCTATCGCAGGACCCGATCATTCCCACGCTCTCATACTCTCGTACTCTCAGGCTCATGCTCCCGCACCGTGCTTCGACCTGCTTGTGCGAAGAGAGAGAGCAAGATGGCAATCACATTTCCCACACGAAGGGGTAGGGCTTCAACCATTTGCGAGCTTCTTGAAGCGCTGGTCATCGACTGAGCCTCAGAGCCCAAGACGCCAGCTACCGCACGCAGCAGCAGCATGACGCTTGCCGACAAGTTCAACCTCGAGAAGCAAGTGACGTTCTACCTCTCGTACCATGCCAACCCGATCAACGTTTACATCCACCTCGTGTGCATTTGGCCGCTCCTCATCACAGGCCTCGCGCTCGGGAGCTGCGCGCCGCAGTTCGCCGACAATGCGTTCTTAGCGCCGTACGGCCTCGCCGAGTACGTGACGTTCGACATTGGGCTTGTCGCTATGGTCGTCTACGTGCTGTGGTATGTGACGCTCGACCCGATCGCGGGCTCGGGCGCGTCCATCGCGATTGTCCTGCTGCATGCGCTGACGACGGCGTGGACGCAGGCGCATGTAGCGCTGTATGGCGAGACGCCGTGGCGCCTCCTCGCTGGCATTCACATTGGCGCCTGGATCCTCCAGTTCATCGGGCACGGCGTGTTTGAGCGCCGCGCGCCGGCCCTCTTTGACAGCCTCGACCAAGCGCTCATCACCGCCCCGCTCTTTGTCGTGCTCGAGATCCTCCTCCCGCTCGGGTACCGCCGCGAGATGCACGAGCGCGTCCAGCGTCAAGTCCAAGTCAACCTCGCCGCCTTCCACAAGCGGGCATAAGCACAGAAAATGAACCATACAATACATGCCATTGCGAGACACTGCAGTTCTAGGCGGCGGGCGGGCCGTCGCCCAGCACCACGGTGGCTGTGTGGGCCACGACGAGGTGGAGGAGTGCGTTCGTGTACGTCCGAGCTCGTTGCTGCAGGAACGGCAGCATCGGCGCTGCGATCACGCCACTGGCGACCGCGCGGTCCAGCGCCTACAGCAAGCACATTGCAACCTTCCTTTTACACGGTAGAGATCTTATAGCAAGCGTACTCCGTCAATAAGGCGGCCAACAACCACCGGCGCGCGCAAGTGCGGCGCGTACGTCGCGAGCACCCAGACAAGCGTCGAGAGAAAGGGCAGTGCGAGGTCACTAGCTACAGCATGAGACGTCTCGAATGAGGTAGCCGACTACCGAAACGCGGTGTCGTCCATGGGCGTGCCGTGCACGACGGTCGACGCGACCCGGCGCCATAAGAGGACGTGGGCGCCGTTCCAGTGTCGGCTCGTCGCGTCTGGCGCGTCGATCACTGCGTCCTACAGCGTCGATTGTGGCATCGTCCAAGCGCAAAAGGTCGTACGAGCCAGCCTTCGTACTCGGCGGCGGTCGCGCGTGCCCATAGATCGAGGCGCCGGTCGACTTCGTTGGCCTAGTGCAAGGAGGAGCGATGGTCGACAGGGCAGTGTCGCGGAGCGTACATTGGTCGTGGCGTTGACGCGCCCAAGGCCGAGGACCTCGTCGAGCGTGCGCTGGAGCGCGGCTTGCACCGATGTCGGCCGCCACAGCGACGGCATCTCGGCTGTCGTCACGTCGGGCAGCGACAGTTGCCAAATCTACAAGACAAGGCTACGTCTCCGGAATGACGGGTGGGAAGACGTACGACGTTGGCCACGTCCTGTGCCGGGTGCTCGGCCGTGAGCGACCACGGAACGCCTTGCAGCATCAGAAGCAACTGCGAGAACGCGTCGTTCGGATTATCGCGCGTGGTGTCGAGACCGCCGAGCACGCGCAGGAGGTTGCCCATGAGGCGCGACGTCGACGGCTGGTCGCTGTTGGCCGGCGCCGGCGGTTGCGCCAAACTCGTGTGCAAGCGCCGCGCGTACGGGCCCATGGCCTCAAGGAGCGACGCCAAGTAGGCCATTTGCCGCGCCGATTCGACGTCGTCGGGCGTTTGGTTGACGACCCATGCGAGGCGCTGCAGCTGCGCCGAGACGTGCGAAAGCGTTTCGCCGAGCTCGATCGCGCTCTCGACGAATGCAGCGTGGGACGAGGGCGTCGGGTGCAATGCCGGGCGCGGCAAGCGCGCCGTCTCTTCGCGCCACTGCTGCGCTTGGTGCAAGAGGGCGGCGTCGTCCGGAGGCGAGGGCGCGGGCGCGGGCTGCGGCGAGAGCGGTAGCTGGATAAAGTGCATCGATACGTACGGTGGGCGCTCGCGACCGACGTTTTCGCTGGCTTCTTCGTCCCCGTCCGACGGCGACGGCGTCGGGCTAGGCGGGCTGGAGGCGTGAGGGCTCGGTGCAGCGGCCGGCGGCGGCGCCGTCACGACGTGGATCGTGTCGCCGTCGACAAAGTGGTACGCGGCGAGGCTCATCTCGTCGTGCAGGAGCTTTCCCTTGTAGATGAGGCGCTGGGCCGCGACGGGGCGCTGCGTAGACGCAGCGATCTCCTCCTTGAGCGCGAGGACCGTCGTCACCAACGGCGTCGTGAGCCCCATCGTCTCCTCGTGCATGAACTTGAACGTCACGTGCACCTCGTCCATGGTGATGAGAAAAGTGCGGCCAAGCTCAATGCGGGAGGGGGCCAATAAAACGGCGCCGTCCGACTTGCCTGGCGGCGTCTATGGGCTGTTAATTAACACGACGTAATATTTCAAGCGCTCTAAAAAAGCTGAAAACATTCAGGTGGGCATTGCAACGAGGGAGTTGCCCCAGAGTGGCTCCTCCACGGCGCCAGTGCTCTTGTTCCAGTAACCGAGCCGCACACAGTGTCGAAGCGTCAACTGCTGCTGGAGGTTGTACCTACTGGACAAGTTATCGTAATACTCGTTCGCAATATATCGACTTGGGTTGTATTTGTTTTGTATATATATTTACACTAGAGACCAATTGCATGAGCGGTCTTATAGTGTAGCGGTCATCACGTCTCCTTGACGTGGAGAAGGTCCCCGGTTCAAGTCCGGGTAAGACCACACTTTTATTGGCGATGCATTTGAAATGGTTTGTGGAATTCCCATTTTTTTTGGGGGCTGTGCGGTCGCCGACTAGTACCAGTATGCAGCGCTTCCATCGTCTCTGAGCCTGTTTTTTCGCTGGCTTGTGGTAGTGCAAAACCTTGGCAGCTCGGCTTGACCAAGGGAAATATGAACTGCCGTCTTACCTGTCTTACGCAACCATGAAATGGATCGGAGGGACAACGTCGGGCGTCCCACGCAAAGCAGAGAGGGACACGAACCGCGTCGGCGTCAAATCACCTTTGAACAGCGCTCGCGAGAGGATTTCAATCGATTCCATCGGTGCCGATTGACCGTCTTCTCGCGAATCGAAAATGGAAGCGAAAAGAGCAAAAGACCGCTCATCTGTCATCCGAGATGCTGTCGCCCAGCATCTCGTCCTTGGCTCCAGCGTCTCGAGGATGATGGCGTTGCTGGGCGTGCGTTGCGGGGTCGACGACGTCTCGGGACCTTGACACAAAAGTCAAATGAGATTTCATGCGGCATCCTGACCTACTATATGTAGTTGCAACTTGTCTGCCTTCGTGAACGAGGGATGTACTGAGCCAACAGTACATCTATCGAGTCGGCACTCTGCCGAGTTGGCACACTACAGATAAAAACTTGCACCGGTACCTTGGTCCAGCGAGCCGAGCCATGAGCCGTGTTGCGTAGCCGTCCATACGAGGTCATTCTCGACGCATGGAGTGAGCAAGAAGCAGGCACGGACGTCACTTGCTGCTCGGTTGCATCCTGAGCTCATAGTTCGAGCTTGACCATCAAGTAGTACTGTGATAGAAATGTATCGGAGCCCAACTCTCCAAGGACTAGCGAGCGACCGTATTAGCCAGCGACAAACCACAACTATTTTCGTAGACTACAGCAATATTCACATGCAGATTATAAGAATACGGCGCCAACATGTACGCACTAGACCGTCTTCTTGTCGTCGAGCGAGTCGACTTCCTCGTCGGCCGTCGTTGGCGACGTCGGTGCCGAGACATTGCCCTCCGACTCCATCGCCCGGAGGTTGATCATCGACGGCGTCTTCTCGCGCTTGAGAAAGCTCAGATCGTGCTTCTTTGTGATCGTGTTGCGGCGTTCCTTGTCGTCTTCCGAGGTCGTCTTGTCTTCCGTCTTGGCCACCGAGTGCATGTACGCCGACCAGTCCATCGGCGCCGACTGCGCGAGCGGGCCAAGCACCGGCGCGTACTTGCGCACAAAGAGGCGCACGTCCATCTGGAGGCGCGCGCGGCGCTGCGGCAGCTCGTCTTGGATCTTGCGGTACTTGGGCTGGAGCCGGTAAAAGAGCGGGCGGAGCGTCTTGAGCTCAATGATGCCGGCCTCGACCGAGCGCACGCCAAAGTACGAGAAGAGCGGGAACGACGCCGTGAGCAGGAAGATGCTCGACCACTTCCAGTTGGTGAAGAGCATGGCCAGAACCATGTACGAGATCCATAGCACGGGCACGGCGACGATCGAAAATGCAATCTTCTTGCTCAAGACAACGTCGCGGGCGGCAATCTTGACCGTCGAGCCGGCCAGCGCCTTGGTCTGCTCGGCGCGGGCGACGTGGCGGGCCATGAGCCCCACCGGCGCATTGAGCACAAACGACGGGATCGACGCGAGCGCAAAGATGCACACGCCGTAGACCGCTGACGAAATCACATCGTGGATGCTCCACCACGCAATGTACGGCACCTGGTGGTCCGTGAGGCCCATGAGGCTCAGGCTCTTCCGGTACTCTTCGAGCTTGGCCCGGAGCGCGTTCATTTCGTCTTGCGCGTCCGGGAGCTCGCTCAGAATCTTGTATGCTTCGGCAAACCGGCGGTTGAGGTCCTGCGTCTCCTTGGGCGAGAGCTTGATGCCCGACGGCTGGTACAAGCGGCGCGCCGTGTAGATGAGCTGGAGCACCGTGTAGTCGGGCGCTGTCACAATCACGCTGCGCATGCCTTCCTCCACCTTGTGCAGAAATGCGTTGCACGCCGTGCGCTTGTCCGTCTTGTATACGTCCATGTCGTCGTTCGTGACGGAGATCGGCTCGCCAAACTCAATGACGACGCGGCCGCGGAAGCGGTGACCGCGAAAGTAGTTGAGGCCCACGGGCACCACCGGCACGTTGATGTGGTACGTGTCCTTGACGCCAAACGCCATGAGCGCGACGCCGGCCTTGAGCGGAAGGAGGTCGGTGCGGTCGTGCGAGCCGCCTTCGGGGAAGATGCCGACGCAGTTGCCGCGCTTGAGCGCCGTGTACACATCGCCAAACGTGTGCGACTGGTCGACCTTTTTGAAGATACCGTACGCCGAAAAGTCGTAGATGACGTCGCCGTCGTGGTTCTTGACGTGACCCGAAAGCACAACGTGCGTGTCGTCGAGGACCTTCTCGACCTTGACGGGCTCGCCCGACTCCATGACCGTCTTGCCGTCGTAGCGGACTTGGTCGCCGCGCGCGAGCGACGTCAAGAACGTCGTGTTCTCGCCCACGAGGATAAACTCTGAGTCGTCATCCGAGGCTTGCATGCAAGCCTTCCCCGGGCCCTTCAAGACTGCATCTTGCGGGCGCACGACGGGAATGCAGCCCATCGCACGGCTAAAGTCTCCAATGACCGGGCGGTGCATGGACTTTTCCGCTACAAGAAACCCCACCTAGGTGCACCGAGCAATGAGCACAAGGCATGACATGCATCGTCGAGGAGTACCTTGCGGTAGCAGTTCATCATGACAATCATGCCATCGACAAACTGGTTGGCGTGGTTGCCCGTGAAAATGACGGGGCCGTCCATCGGGATGTTGTCCTTCCCGACGATTTCAATGCTCTTGAAGAAGATCGAGAGCACGCTGTTGAGGAAGATGCGGATGCAAAAGTAGAGCACGTCCGAGAGGTTGTAGTAGAGCACACCGAGGAGCACGAGCAGATTGAGCCACCCGATCGTGTACGGGTCAATGCCAAGAAACGAGCAAACCGCCTTCACGGGGCTAGAGCACATGACCATGAGCCTTCCATGCCATATATACCACGGCGCCGCCAGGTACGTACTTGATCGCATCCATCGACATCATCAGGAGCAAGCATAGCGCTGAGATCTGCAGCGTGAGGTCGTCGACCGACAGCGCTCTTCCCTTCGCCATCCTTCGGACTTTCCAGAAATCGCAAAATGACGCCTCTTGCCATCCCTATAAAACCCCATACAAACCTCAAGTCCCACCTTCTCTCACGTTTTGTATTAAATTACCTTGCGGTTTGTATGCAATACAATGCGCGATGCACCCGTTGACGTCAGCCGCGTCCGCTGGGATCTTTTCCACCGCACTTAAGCGAACCTGTTGACTCGACGTCGAGTCGACCCCGGCGCGTCTCAGAGACAAGCGGCGATGCATCAACAGCGCAACACCGCCACGACCAAGGCCATGGCGAGGCGGACCAGAGCCATGCGCGTTGGCGAGGCGAGGCCTACGCGCGGCGACGATGGGCGAAGCATGGTCGAAGCATGGGCGAAGCGAGGCGGAAGGATGTGGCATTACAGCAGCGCACAGTCCGAGGCGAAGCTTGTGGCGGGCACTGCGACCCGTCGCAGCTACGGTCGACGAACGCGGCGCCTGATCCGCGCCAATGCCGCAAGCCGTGGCACGGTCAAAGTCGACGCAAGCAGGTGCAGACGGCGTAAGGCATTGCTAACGTGGACAGCCTCGCGCCGATTACGCTGATGTTATCCTTCATCACCAATGCTGTTGCTGATGGCGACAGCTGCTTCGTGCGAGGAGGACCGTGCGTGACTGCATGTTGCGTCAAACAAACCCAAGATTTGGTGTTGGATCCATCGAGACTCGCCTGGTCGCCGGCTGCGATCGAGAGGCGCGTGTTGGTTGGAGCTTCGAAATGAGCCGGTGGTCATGACGACACCATTGCGGTCCTGGCAGAGCATGAAGAGCCGCGCGACGGCTGCCTGGGCTGCCAGGAGAGGCTGCAGCGGCGAGCGCTGACAGGACAAGGCGCACAGCGTCTTTTCTGAGGGTTGTTTCACGGGGGTTTCCAAGGGCGAGCGTTTTGGTGACACCACTTTGCGTCGTACATGGCGATGGATGCAGGCAACCTCGAATGGGTCGACAAGATCATCACCAAGCTCCTCGTGGTGCGCGACAAGCCGGTGCAGACTGAGGTGACGGACCTCGACATCGAAGAGATCAATGCGCTCTGCAAGCACTGCCGCGGTGTACGCTCTCTCCCTCGTCCTTCCCAAAGAAGGCTGACGATGCCACGTAGATTTTCCTCGCGCAGCCGATGCTGCTCGAGCTCAACGTGCCCATGAACATTTGCGGCGACACGCACGGCCAGTACTCGGACTTGCTGCGGCTCTTTGAGATCGGCGGCTTTCCGGAGCAAAAGAACTACCTCTTCCTGGGCGACTACGTCGACCGCGCCATGCAGAGCATCGAGACCATCTGCCTCCTCTTCGCCTACAAGATCAAGTTTCCGACGCGCATGAGTCTCCTGCGCGGCAACCACGAGTGCGCGTCCATCAACCGCATCTACGGTCGTCGCCTCCTCGCACGGCTCTCCGTTCTGATTGTCAACAACGTAGGCTTTTACGACGAATGCAAGCGCCGGTACAACGTCAAGCTGTGGCGCACGTTCGCCGACTGCTTCAACTGCATGCCGGTCGCGGCCATCGTCGGCGACAAGGTCCGTCGTAGCGTGTCGGAGCGTCGTCGTTCTCACGGAGCTAGATCTTCTGCATGCACGGTGGCCTCTCGCCCGATCTGTACAAGATGGACCAAATCAAGAACATTCGCCGGCCCACCGACGTGCCGGACGAAGTACGCTCGCTCTACAAGCCTCCTTCAGCTAGAGGAACCTGCATGATAGGGACTGCTCTGCGACTTGTTGTGGGCCGACCCGGACGCCGACAGCCACGGCTGGACTGAGAGCGACCGCGGCGTCTCGTACATCTTTGGCGCCGACGTCGTCGAGCAGTTCCTCGACACGCACGACTTGGATCTGGTTTGCCGCGCGCACCAGGTTTCCAGATGGATCTGGAACGTCATCTGATGTAATCCTATGCCAGGTGGTCTCGGACGGCTACGAATTCTTTGCTGGTCGCAAGCTCGTGACGATCTTCTCGGCGCCCAACTACTGCAACGAGTTTGACAACGCCGGCGGCATGCTCGTCGTCGACACCAACATGACGTGCTCGTTCAAGGTCCTCTGTTCCCAGGACGGCTAAGCCGACTAGTACTGTCCTCTTGGTCTACTGCCATAATGACACTATACTACGACAACATGCAACTAGTCGAGTTGGTTTATAGAAAGAGGAGAAGAATCAACTAGGTATAATAGTGCGGCGAGATCAACAGCTCTTCGATCGCTTCGAGCTGCGACCGCGTGAACACCGCCTTGTCCTCGTGCCAGCTGTCCTGGTGCGTCCGTTTGAACTCGAGCAAGACGGCCTTGACCACGTCCGTGACCGCCGCCTCGTGGACATGCAGCGCCAGCTCTTCCAAGATCGCCGGTACAAACACTGGCACCGAGTACGGATACGCGAGCACGATGGCGCCGATGCCAAAGCAGCCGCGCACGGTCGGACCAACGTTGACGCTGGTCGCCTCGAGCGCCGCCAGCTGCGTCGCCGCGGCCTCCAAGTCCATGCCTTCCTTCTTCACGCGGAGGATGAGGCGGAGGCGCTTGAGCTGCTTCTCGCGCTTGGCCCGCTGGAGCCGCGCCGCCGACGTCTCAGTAAGAAACGCAGTCGCAAGCTCGGCGACGCGTGCCTGGGAGAGCGTCCGGACAAACCCGCGGAGCGAAAACTGCGCCATATCTTGGACGTCGCGGACGTCGTCTTCGAGTCGCGAGAGGAGGAGCGCTTCAATGTGCGGCTTGGCGCTGCTCAAGAGACCGTGGTGAAAGTTGAAGACGGTGAGGAAGCGCAAGACGGCGCCACGCGTGCGCCACTGGGGCGACGCCAGCGCCGAGGCCAAGCACGTGATGAGCTGCTCGCTAACTTGCGTGCTCGAGAAGAGCCGGAGCTTGGTCGCGATGGCCTCGACAACGATGCGCGCCGACCGCGCCACGTCCGCGTCCGGAAACGCTTGCGTGTCGAACGCAATCGGAAAGAGCAGGAGAAGCACCTCAAACTGCGGCGAGTCGCCTCGCGAGACGAACGCCGCAAGCCACGAGAGCACGGTTTTGCGCAGCGAGAGCTCCTTGTCATGGACGGCGCCCGTCGGCGTGTCATAGACGATCCCACGCTGGCACGCTGCAAACGGCAGCGTCACGTCGGTGGCGTTCGTAAAGATGTAGAGCAGCGCTGCAACTTGCTCGCGGACAAAGGCGTACGGGTGGTCGAGCGCCTTGGTCGCAACATCGACGAGACGTTGCGACAAGACAGCATTCGGCGCTTCGTACACGAGGTGGATCGCGACGGGCTGCGAGAGCACAAGCCAGCGCACTTGACCCGTGGCGTCAACAGCGTCCGCGGCCGCCAGCGCTGTCTCGGTCTCATTCACAATGTACTCGAGCAGCGCCACATCGTGCCGACGACGCAAGTAGAGCAGCACGACGTCGTACCAGTCGTGCGCGTACGGGACGCTGAGCTTGGGCAACACCGCTTGGAAGAGCGACGCAGCATTTTCCGGGGCGAGGCCGACAAGGATCGAACCAAGCGTCGAGAGCGACGCGCGGCGCTCGTCCGTGTCGCACGCCGCGAGGTTCGCGAGCAGCGGCTGCCAGCGACCAAACACATCGATGGTTCCCGAGGCTTCGACTGCGAGGCGCGTGACAAATAGCACGTGGAGCGGCGAAATGTGCTCAGTGGCTTGCGGCCCAAACGCCCGCAGTGGATGCGGCGCCGCTTCGTTCTCGACCAGTGCGACCAGTTCGTGGACGCCGAGCGACCAGCGCGCCGGCGACGCGTCCGCGCTTTGTCCGTCGGCCGACCGCTGCGCCGTCTTGTGGTCCAACACCAAGTCGCGAGTGAGCGCCGAGAGTGTTGTCGTCGCAAAGAGCGTCTCAAGCACGTCCGTCGGCAGTGCCTCGGTACCATTCGCTTGGTGGACCTTGAGTGCGCGCGAGAGCAGAAGGCGCGCAAACGTCACGACCTGCGGCACGTCCGAGACCACGCGGCGCAGAATGAGGCCCCAGATCGCAGTCGGGACGGGTCGGTCGGCGCGCAGCCACGGAAGAATGCTCGCCAAATGCATGAGCTGGAACCGCCAGTGGCCTTGCATGTCGGCCTCGAGCGCCATAAGCGATGCGACCGGCGGAATACCGTCGGCGTCACGGACACTCGCGAGCAGCTGCAGAAATGTCTTGAGGACGCGTGCACTTGTCTTCATTTCGTCTTCGGCCGTGCGCTGCTTGACGTCGGCCGCGCGGCAGAGCGTGCCCAGGAGGGATTCCGCGAGCGTCCAGTCCTTCCAGATGACGTGCAGCGACCGTTGGAGCTGCAGCAGATGCAGCACGCCCGTGATCACGTGATGCGACGTCGCCTCGTCCGTGAGCGTCGACGCCCACAGCGGGAGCTGCGCCGCGTGCCATTGCGAATAGCGCGAAGCGACCTTATCGAGCGCACTCTGCGCGGCCTTGCGCGTCTTCGCCAGCGGGTGCACGGCGAGGTGCGCGACGGCATCGAGCAAACCGGATGCGACTGTCGGGTCGCCGACAAGCGTTGGGTGCGTCCGCACAAAGCGCGTGTACGCAAAGCTGCGGTCGTCGTAGTGCTCGGCGAGCAAAATACTCAGCCGTTCTTGCATCAATCGACGCGGCAAGAGCGGAATCGATGACGCGCTCGTGAGCACGCGCTGCGTCATCGCCTTGGACGCCGTGTCGCCGCTCGAGAGCTTGCGCCACTTGGAGTACATGCGCACGTTGGCCACGTGCGCCGCGTCACGCGGGTGCAAAATCAACGTCATGACGCGCAGTGCGTAGCGAAGACACTTGGACGCGACGAGGTCGGTCGAGTCGTACCACACGCCGACCACGTCGCGCATGACCGCAGCGACGCGCGCGCGCAGCGTCAAGAGCGATGTCAGCACGTCCGGGTGCGCCGAGAGCACAGCTTCCAGTCGCTTTTGGGTCTGCAAGACGCTCGGAAGCGCATCGATCGGCAAATTTGTCGACGCCACCGGGTCCAACAGCAGCGGCTTGGCACCGCGAACCGCGTGCAGAATGTGACGCAGGCGCGTGCGCCAGGTGCTCGACGCCGATGTTGCCGTGAGCGTCGACTCGACGAGCGCAAAGGTCGCAAGCCAGTCGGCCGCCATACCGAGCTCGTCCGTGCTGGGTTCATGCCACACGGGTTCGAGCGCACCCCAGGACAAGCTCACACCGAGAAACTGGCTCGTAGAGCTGGTCTCGGCGATCGCAGAGGCCATCGGGGGCAGCGCGCGGCCATAGTCGGGCTGGTACACACTGGTGAGGCGTGCGAGCACGTGGCGCAAGATCTTGCAGCCGAGCTTGACGATCTTGGGGCTCTCGTGGACACCGGACGCCGACACGACCGCCTTGAGCTTGCTATGGAACGGCAAAAGCGCCGTGCCCACAGTGCTCTTGACGCAGCCGTCGACGAGTCGCAGCTGCCACGCGAGCTCGCTTTCCGTCAACGCGCCACCGAGCACGCGGTCCATGGCCGGCACCAAAAGCTGCGGCAACGACTGGTTCGGGTGGGGCGCCACCACGGCCGCGAGGAAGCCCGCGACGAGCTTGCCGGCCGTCGGGATGTACGTGGCGGCGACAAAGTCGGCAACGCGGCGCAGCGCCAGCGTGTACATCGACGGCGAGAGCTGGGCAAAGAGAAGCGTCGCAACGTGCTGCAGGTGCGCGCCGATCTGGAACTTGTCTTCGTTCGAGTCTTTGGCCACGTCGGGCTTTTCCTGCTGCTTGAAGAGCACAAAGAGCCGGTCGAGAAGCTGGAGCACCCACGCTTCGAGGGCATCCCCCGTCGCCCACAGCGCAGTGTCGACGTCCGACGACAGCGTCACCGACGCAAACAGCCGCTGGTCGAGTGCACTCAGCCACTCGATCGAAAGCGGCGACCGCGGCGTCAGCGGCCGACTCGTGTCGTTGGCCAGCGGAAGGTACATGAGCCACGTCGCATAGAGCTGCAGCGTCCGGCTCGTCTTGGTGTCGTCGTTCGGGTCGATGCCGGGCAGCGTCAAGTGCAGAATCGACGGCAGCACGTTGGGTGCCCATTGGAGATCGCCACGGAGCAGTGCGGGACCGCAGATCGTCAGCGCCGAGATCGCGCTCGGTGCTTGGTGCGTCTGGCTCACGGCCGACGGGTCCAACCCGCGAAGCAGCGTCTCGACAATGCGGGGTGCGTGCGTCCGCGAGAGACACAGAATGTTGCGCAGCGTGAAGCTCGACTTGGACGAGACGGACTGGCTCTTGGCGTAGATCCCGAGAAATGCGAGGTCGATGAGCGCGACCACGAGCGGCGACGCCTCGACCGTCGGACGGCCCTCGGCGCGGTCGTGGCCGGACCGGAGGCAGAGGAACGCGCTCGTGTAGTACATAAGGTCCGAGATGCCGTTGGCAGCGTTGTTGGCGCTCGACGGATGGAAGAAAGGCTCGAGGAGGTGGAGCAGCTGGAGGAGCATGCTCTGCGCCTCTGATGCGGACGAGAGAAGGTACACGACGAGCTTGGACGCGTAGTAGAGCGCATGCTTCTCGCCGTGGAGCCCCGATAGGGTCTTGGGCCACTTGTTGCGCGCGGGGGACGGCCCCATGTCGGACGGCAGCGAGAGACAGTGCTGGATCTTGGCAAAGAGGAAGGGCAAATGCGGGGCCCATGCCGCTGCGTCGAGCGTCCCGCGCGCGTGCTCATGCTTGGCCACGCGTGAGAAGAGGCGCAGCCAGTGCAGGTCCCACTCCTGCAGCGTGTTGATGCGCGCCCAGACCGCGACCCATTGCGACAGGAGCGGCGTGGCCTCCATGGACGGACTCCAGAGCAACGAGAGCGTGGCCGCGGCCTTGAGACTGCCTTCGGTCTCTGTCTCGACCAGACGTGGCGCGACGAACGTCCAGAGGGTCGCATCGCTCGGGTAGCTCTTCCTCGCCTTGGAGAGGTACTTGATGAGCGCCGTCTTGTACGCGCCTTGGGTCGTGCTGGACACGGGCAGGACCGGCCCCGGCGTCGCGTAGAACGTCGTGTCCCACACCTGCAGCGCGGTCGCCCACTGCAGCTGCAAATTGGACGGCCCATCGAGCGCGAGCGATTGCTTGCGCGCCTTCTTGATGAGCAGCACGGCCGCGTCGAGCGCCTTGACCTGCAACTCGATGCGCGGGCTGGTCATAAAGACGTAGTCGACAAGCGCGTGGATGAGGTCGATCGTCACGGAGGGATCTTCCAAGGTGTACTTGCGCTTGAAGAACGTCTGAAGCGTCCGAAAGTGGTGGAACGCGATAGCGCCATGGTCCTTCGCTTGGAGAAGCCCGAGGAAGCTCTACCGACGAGGAAGCTGCATGAGGACGCTGCATGACGAGGAGGAAGATGCTAACGTACATGGAGCTGTCCACGGAGGAAGACTTCGTCGGCGGCGATCGTCGCCTGCTCGGACGACGGCAGGAGCGACGAGAAGACGTGCATGGCAAATTGCGGAATGGGCGGTTCGCTAAGCTTGCTCTCGTGCCAAAAACGGGTCCTTCGATCGAATCCATGCATTCTTCACGTTATTCACGTCATTTCCCACGGTGTTCAAAACATTAAGACGAGATACAAACAAAAAACCACAACGTGAAAAAAGAAAAAGGATCGTCGGCGGTGGAAAATACCCGTTATTGACACGAACGACTTCCGAAATCGGCAGAATGGTGGTCTTGAATGATGGTCGTGAAATCCGCATTTTGGGGTCGATCCTTCGCCGGGACGACCCACGATGACTACCGGTAGCACAGCTGGATGGACAAAGCAGCATGCACGAGAGCTTGAGCTCTACAAAGCAGGGAGCTTGGTACTGGCGTCGGCTATGTTTCTACACGTCGTGCCATACTCGCGTCGCCGCAGGGTGCAGTAGCCTTGTCTACCTCGTCGAGGCAAGCAACAGTTTGAAGCGGTGGGCCAAAGAGTTACGACAAATGAATCTTCAGTGCAGCTGTGGAAGGAGCAGAAGACACATGCTTCGGTCGGCGTCGGGAGCGCTGCGCTTGGGCTCCTGCATTGCGCACCAAAAGTTCTGATCCAAGCGAACGTGATAACCAGATACGAGACGTTGAAGTTGGGCGGCGTGATCAACTCGGGCGCTCTTTTCGTCTCCTTCTCGAACGACTTGAGATCTTGTTTTCGTGGTGCAGAGTATTGTGGTGCGATTTGAAGTGGCTTGGATGGAGTTAGCAAGGCCACAGCTACGGGGAGGATGCTCGTGCGAGGCTCTGACGTTCTTCCCGCGTCACGCAAGGTACCATCTCGTTTCTTCTGAGAGGCTAAGCTCGCAGTAGCGAGCGAGTGGTAAATGGCGGCGCCGTCCCGCCAAACAGTGCTTGTGGCTTCGCATCGTCGTCAGCGACTCCTTCGTTGCCGACGTCATTGTTGCTCTCGTGGCCGCTGCCTTCTTGGTTGCCGTCGTCCTTGTCATTCTCGTTGCTGTCAACGTCGGCGCCAATGTCATTGCGACGGCTCTGGTCGGCGTCGGGAGCGCACGATGTTGAAGTTGGCCCGAAGGAAATGACCTCGATTCTCTCTCCCTCGCAAGGACCAAGAGATTCGCAAGGCGTATCGGCTGACGACGATAGGACCTTGTCGCTCGAGTCGATGCATGAGCTCTCGTTCTATCCTTTGCCGAACGCTCCAAGTAAGCTGTGTTTGCATTGGGCAGCGTGTCGTTTTAGCAAAGGTGGGTGCGAAGCGATGTCTTCGCGATCCCGCTGAATCTCTTTGTCCCAGTCTGCGTCGATGGCTGTGTGGCAAGTACAACAGATACGAGCGCTTCAAGTTAGGCAGATAATCACAGCCTCGTGGGCTGCGGCTCGAAAAGCCGTCGGTTGATCATTGCTTGCAGCGTCCGAATGTTGCTGCGGTAGCTCGTCAGCACGAACTCGGCCAGCGCCGCGAAGTTGAGGTCGTCGGTCTCTATGCTGCGGGATGCATCGTGGTAGCTCTTGCACGGTACGTGGCCGCGGCTAAAGTACTTGATGCGACTCTCGTTGCTGCTCACCATCTCGACGACAAACCTAATCTCGAATGTCAAAAGAAGAGATCTTTCAAGGCGAAGTACCAGCCCGTTTCTTGGGGTACGTAGACCTCCGGTGGGTACGGGTACACGTCGTCGTCGAGCACGATGCGCATCGTGAACGCGGTGCGCGCAGCAGACTCGTCGTAGCGCTTGCAGGCCATGTTGCCGTGCAGTTCAAAGTCACCGGGGAACCGCAAAAACAGCTTGGTGTAGCGTGTGGCCTCGTCGACGCTCGGCAGCGGCTACAACGACGCAAGATGACGACGCTGGCGTCATCACCAAGCAGGTTACCAGAAGCGCGCCTGACTCGAGCGCCACCAGCTTGTCTTGTGAAAAGGTCGCCCAAAGCGCGTCAGCGACGCGACCCATCTCGGCGGGGATCGTATACACCATGGTGCACGTCAGTACGAGCTGGTCGTTGTCGATACCGACGTGCGTGAGGGTGCACGGCTCGGTGGCGTCGTGCAGGCGCTGGGCCAGGAAGACGCTCTCAAGGCGATCGTACTCGGCGTCAAGCATGGCGTTGAAGCTCAAACGACGCTCGGTCGGGTCGGCGGGCAAGCGCTGCAGCTTCCAATCCTCGAGGTACGAGATGTCCATGAGCTTGGGCCGCTTCTGCACGATGCGCAGCAGCGCCTCGATCATGGTCAGCTGCTCTTGAACCGCGTCTTTCAAGCGCGCATTGTCCTGCTCGGCGACGCTGCGCTCGATGGCCTGTCGCCGCGAGATGCTTTCCCACGGCGTCGCGCAGATGATGTCGATCTCTTGGCGCTGCGTCAGAGCAGCTAGCTGCTCCGAGTAGTCGGCAACCTTGGCGCGCAGCTCTGTGATCTCGTCGATGTAGCGCTTGCGTTGTCGCTTGGGCCGCGCTGGCAGGTCGAGGTCCCATGCCACGTCAAAGTCGTCGACGATCTCGTCGGTTCTCGATCGATCCATTCGAGATGTGGGTGCGCTTGATCGGTTTCAGGTGCCTTCTTCTAAAAGAGCACCCATGGCCGCGAAAGCGCACCTAATCAAGTCATCGTCGATCTCTATCGCCGGCGGCGATCGTCCCGCAGAGATCGACGATGACTGGCCGGCGATTCGCCGGCCATGTCGCTGCATCGGCGATACGGAATGGAGTCTTTTGGGCGTCAAATGACAAGGCATATGGTGCGAGAGCTGATGCGCTGACGCCGCGCCAAGACTGCGGGCTACTAGTCCTGCAAAATGCAAGGCAGAAGACAAACTCGGCCGATGACGGCGGCCAGCGTGCAAGCCCCCCACGACGGAGGCGCCACACTGCTGAGTCATCAGCGGCGAGCTACAGTTGGCACCGCTACACCAAGACTATCAACAGCTTCAACACAGACCCTGGCGAGCTTGCGAGGAAAGCTAATCCGGTTGCTTGACGAAATCATCCGGATGCCCATTCCGTGATGCACGTCGCGGCGTTCTTCCCGCGACTGCAAGCGACGCTGCAGGCGCTTTCGCCGACACACCTCGCGTCACGCAAGGTACCATCACTCTTCTTCGGAGAGGCTAAGCTTGCAGTAGCGAGCGAGCGTCGCTGCGCTCTTCCGCCACGCGCCTGGGCCTGACCCGCGCCTCCAGCTCCTCTTCATCCGGCGCTGCGTCAACCCCAACGATACGTGGAGCGGCCACATTGCGTTTCCAGGCGGCCGCACGCAGCCGAGCGAGACAGACGTCGAGAGCGCGATCCGCGAGACGCGCGAAGAGATTGGCCTCGATCTCGACCGCGGGTTTCGCCTCGTGGGCCAGCTCCACGACCGCCCCGTGCACTATGGCACGACCGTCGTCGCCTCCTTTGGTACAATCTTCTCCATCACCAGCGACTTGACGCGCTAACACGAGCGAATAGTGTTTCAGCATGATGGACAAACGCCGTTCAAGATGACGCTCGAGCCGTCCGAAGTCGCCGACGCGGTCTGGGTCGACGTCGCGTACCTCGCTTCTGCGCCGATCCAGTCGCTCGAGATTCCCGTCGACATGATCTTTCCATGGCTCACAACGTATCCGTCGCTTCTGGTACGAGAGGCGTGTATTTTTGCATCGACAAAGAACGGAGCGTAGGCCCGCCTTCAGAAAAGCACCATTCTCAGCGCGATTGGGTTTCCGTGCATTTACCTACCGCGACCGAAAGAGGAGAATGATGTCGTTGACGCGACGGCGCCGCGCCAAGCCAACAACTTTGTGCTCTGGGGCCTCACGTACACGATGGTGTCGGACCTCTTTGTCGCTGGCGGACTCGACGCGCTACCAATGACGTCGCGGTCGCTGCGCTACGCGCGAAGCTTCCTCTTCCATTGGCGGCGCCGCCAGCAACGATCGACGACGAAATAGCCTCGCTTGTCTCTGTACTACTGTACTACGTAGTATGACAAAGGAATCTGTCTTTGCTCTGGCGTTGACGTTTGCAGAGGCGCACAAATGCCAGCTGCCAGAGTGGCGCTCGAGGAAGGTCCTTTTAGCAAGGAAACTGGCGCATCTTTGCTTCCCTGTCCCGCGCAGGCTCACGACGGAAACCTTCTCATGTCAACTTGACGCAGTCGCTCGTCATGATCGCGCTGCCGACCTTGCAGTCCGGATGCGACCGCGTCCCCCACCGCCATGGCATCGCACGTGTTCATCGTTGGCCCAATCCCTCCATTTGGCAGTAGTTCCAGAGACGCCGCCAAACGCAACTCGTAGCTAACGGACGCCGCGACGACTACGCATATTGTCTACCCACAGGAGCTGCTTCGAGAACGCTGCGGCGCGTGTCGCTAGCCACCGTCGCCGTCACGGCCATCGTCAACTGTAGCAGTCTTTCTATGTTGACACCGGGCCTCGCACGCTCGTTGGCGATCGTCGTAGCTTCCTCAGTCATATCCGCTCAGCGTCGACGTGTATGACCGAGTACACACCTCGTTGTGCGCTGCGCAAAGCCAAACGCAGAGCTCACGAGGCGACGAAGGTGGCGCGCTTTTCAGGCTTTGAAATGGCCGAGATCTGGGGCGCGTGCTTTGCCGAGGACCCGTGGCGACCCGCATCGGGCCGGCTCGTGTAGGACGAGCTCTTTGGCCACGGCGGCGCCAAAGAGCCGCTTGCGATTCTTACCTCGATTGTGGGCAAGACGCCGACGAGCACGCGGTTTGTCGACGAGCTCGGCGTGTAGCCAGTGACGTGTCGCCCACCCTTGCGTGTCGACGCAGTGCGTAGCATTTGGATAACTCGAAACAAAGAAGATTGGAGGGGACGCGCGAGGATGTCACCCGTTTGAGCCCCTGCAGTTGCATACTAGTAAACGATAATGTTATTCAGTGGTGTTGTCCGCTGCTTCTAACTAAAGAATCAGAGCTAACCTCGTTAAACAGGAACCTTTTACCAAGTAAGTGTCTACCTATCAATGTATCAATCCTTAGTACAAGTGGGTGTAATACACGTCGCTGCTTGAAAGCGGACGCAAGAGACAAAAAGCCTCAGCGATCACCAGCACATCTTATTGGTCGTTCTTATTTATCTCTCTTAACTTATGACATACAAAAAACAAGATAAAACGTGGCAGCGCGAAGCGATGGGTTCCATGTCAAGTGCAGTACGGGGTTGTTGTCGTCATTGAAACAAAGATCGCAGGTACGCATTGGCGTACTAGTTAGCAGCGTCGTGTTCTCTTGTGTGTCAACGCACAGAGTCGCGTGGGAGCAAGGGTCCACCCTTGGTGTAAGCTGACGAGCTTTTGGCATATTCACTCCTGCCTTTACTCGTCAGTCATTCTTGCTGGGTCGTTGACCTGCACCAATGCTTCTCACTGTGTAATAGTATCAAGGTGGGCGTTGCTGTTTTGCATCAACACGCATAATACCAAGTAACATTCATGCGTGATTAACCAACCAAAGTGGCGCGGTCGCTTCTCGGACTTGCGCTTCACATATAATGGCGCCGACGCTGCATCTGTGCGTAGAACGTACGACCTTCGTCGCGGCCGTACCACACCACACCCGTGCCGTGCCAGTTTGACTGGCGGTCTTGGTCATCAAGCACGCGGTCGGCCGGCGTTTTGTCCGTGGCCAAGACAAGGAAGCCAAGAGCTGCATCGAAGAGGTCCCGAGCTCGTTCATCTCGGAACTGCTGCATGGCCGTCGCTCGTACAGGACAAGCTTGCCCTGCATCGGGATCTCCGCGAGCTCGTTCTCTACAAAGCGTACGGCCGAGGCCCAGCTTTACATGGGAATGTGCAGACCCGGATGCAAGACGTTGTTCATTGTGCTCGAGAATGCAGGAATGACGCCAGCTTGGCTTTTTGAATCGAAAGCTGTACCTAGATAGAACCAGTTGCAACAGTTGCTCACATTCGAGCGCGTCGTGGGCGTCGATGCAAGCGTATGAAATCACACTGCAGCGCACCAGCATCGAGGAGCTTCGCTGCGGCGCTTGAGCGCCCAGCTCTACCGTCGACATGCGTGACGATGTTGGCGGATCATTGGATTTGACGGATTTGCGAATCTATGCATTATGACAGGATATCAGGCAACACAGCTCCCCAGAGCTGCTGCTGGGACCAAAATGGTGCAGCGTACTAAGGCAGTACAGTAGTAAGCTTACAATGTAGAGACGAAGTAGAGTGCAGCTGTGCAGCTGATGGAGAAGCCAGTACTGTACTTGGCGCAGAAAGGCCAACACGCGAGAACCTGGCGTGCGTCCGACCAGACTTCATCTTTATAAGGCCGCAGGTCCGAACGGTTTGCACACTTCTCAATTCGAGATGGATCAGAAGGCAAGCCAAAAGAGCTGCCGCCAGGCCAGCGCCGACTACCGTGAAGAACGCAGCGACTGAAGCGACGGAAGCGACGACAACGACCATGCGTGCGACGAAGAAGACGACAGCCGGATCACCAAGGACGTCAAAGTCGCAAGCAGCATGACGACGTCGGTGATCCGACCCAAGCAGCAGCGACCAACGACGACGTCGAGATCTACAACACCCGACGTTTCAAGCCAACAACCGCGACGAGGTCTTTCTCGAGGCCGAGAAGCAGGTATGCCACGAGAATACGAGCGGCAGCTCATATATATCCCTGTCCTAGGTGGAGCGGGCGCTGCGCCAGCGGCGA